AGTTTTTGTACATAGTGTTGTGTTTTGGAAAATACAAAGCTTTAACGCAACAAGGGTCTTTAATTTGACAATACTAGTTCATTGGTTCATCCTGAGCTAACGAGATGATGTGTAGCGAATTACGCACAGGATGATTGAGCTTTGGTTTCCACGTCATAACCATAAACCCATGATTTGTCACCAGTTATATGATCCTCTGGAGCAAATTTGGGTTGTTGCGGACAGAGTCCAACGGCTCCTTAGCAATGTTAATGCGATGCCGTTGTTGGTCGAAATTGAGCAGTTTTGGTACGAATTTCGCGACAACCCGTCTCATGCCTAAATCATTTGTAAAAATCGAATGGCAGAAGCCAATCGATATGTTTAGGTCCTCAGCAACTTCTCTAACGGTGATTAGACGATTGACCAATACTATTTTCTTCATTTCATCAATGTTTTCTCTGTTGTTGACGTGCTCAGGCGTTCGGTACGCTCTCCGTTGTTCAAATCTTCTCGGCCCTCTGAAAATATATTGTACCACCAATAAACGTTGGTTCGGTCCGAAGAAGCTTTACCACATATCATAGTCAACATTCGGAATGCGTCCGAGCACTTGATTTTGTTGTTCACACAAAATTTGATACAGTTTCTTTGATCCATTTTTTGGAATAGGCAAAAATCGAAGACGAGCCAAAGTACGTGCAAGCAAAGCAGCTGTCAAAAATTAACTGAATATTCAACATACCTACATACAATTTAGACATCTTTTCGAAGTGAGTTAGTTTAATATGAAATATTATTCTGAAAATTCATTTTTGAGGTAGCGTGTAGTGGGTATAAAATTCAAAAATGGATTTTCCGAATAATATTTCATATTAAACTAACTCATTTCGAGAAGATGTCTCAATTGTATGTGTTTAATCATAGTATATTCAGTATATATAGTCACATTAGTACGACCGATCGTTAACCTTGTAGGTCGGTTGGTCGTGGTTGCTATTGTCACCTCTCGTAGTTTAGTGGTCAGAACATTGGCGCGTAAAGCCAAAGGTCCCGGGTTCGATTCACGACGGGGGTGTGACACAACAGCAAAACTTTTTCCCTCATTAATTTGAGGTAGCGTGTAGTGGGTATAAAATTCAAAAATGAATTTTCAGAATAATATTTCATAGCTGAACTTGTCGGCATAAATACATATGAGTATATAACGCCATAAAAAAATCGAAAATCGAACATACGTAACTCGCGGAAATTAAAAATTCGCGATACTTTTTAAACATACCTCGTATGTATTGCATTTGCGTTTGTATTTGTTTTGATTTGTGATTCCTCTGCAACTTTGTATGGTGCAAGCGTTTCGAAAGCATTCGTCTTTTCGAAATAAAGTTGAAGTTTTCTGGTGTTTGGTTATTAGTCAATGCATTTTATTTAAAAAAAATACAACTATAAGGTTATTCGGAGTCATTTCGTTTTTTTTTTTGTGGAAATGAAAGACAGTTTTCGTATAATAAACAAATACTTTATTAAATTATATATTGACCGTTCTGGTCCAACACCTTTTGCCATCTTTCTGGTAGTAGCATAATTCCACGCTCATAAAATTTTTGGTCTTTGCTGGCAAAAAACTGATCGAGGAGGTTTTTGACCTCCTCATTTGAGGTGAAGGTTTTACCGTCTAAAAAATTTTGGAGTGACCGGAACAAATAATAATCCGATGGTGCCAGGTCTGGAGAATATGGTGGGTGTAGCATTGTATCCCATTCAAGCTGTAAAAGCTTTTGGCGAGTGACCAAACTTGTGTGAGGTCTCGCGTTGTCTTGGTGAAACACTACACCTTTCCTGTTGATTAGTTCTGACCTTTTCTGTTGAAGTGCATCATTCAGTTTGTCCAGCTGATGACAGTAGACTTCCGAATTAATCGTTGTGTTATCCGGTAAAAGCTAAAAAAAAACGATTCCTTTAAAATCCCACCAAACAGACAGCATCACCTTTTTTTGGTGAATATCGGCTTTGGAAATGGTTTGAGCCGGTTCATCTTTTTTGCTCCATGACCTCTTGCGTTTGACGTTGTTGTATACAACCCATTTTTCGTCCCCAGTGATGATGCGCTTCAAAAACGGATCATTTTCGTGACGTTTGAGAAGCGAATCGCAGACGTCAATGCGGCGACACAGATTTCTCTCTGTGAGAACATGGGGAACCCATACATCGAGCTTCGAGGATAATCCCAGGCCTTTCAAGTGGTCATAAACTGTTGAATTTGATAAATTTAACCTCAATCCGATCTCACGTGTTGTTATTCGCCGGTTCACATCAACTAATGCCTTTATCGCGTCTTTATCAGCTTCAACCGGCCTTCCCGAACGTGGTGCATCTTCGACATCAAAATTGCCGGATCGAAATTTAGCGAACCAGTTCTGGCACTGGCGTACTGTCAACACACCTTCTCCATACACATCAGTCAATTTCTTTCTGGCTTGAACAGCATTTTTACCCTTTCTGTAGTAAAACAGTAAGATATGTCGAAAATGCTGCTTATCGCTCTCCATATTTAAAAGGGCACCAACCAAAAACTACTGCGTAGAATTAATTGGAATTTTTCACACACAAGCCTTGCTATATGAGCTCTCAAAGCATATAAAAATTATACGGCTTAAATGTGAAGTTGGGTGCAAAAGAATACAATTAAATCCTTTGTCGGGAAAAAACGAAATAACTTTCCGAACAACCCGATAAATTACGTTAGTATAAGCACTGTTTGGTTCTACAATAATTTTTACTGTGCAAGGACGAGTTTGGATGGCGAGCGCGGCTGCAGATTTTGAATCCCATCGGATCCAGACGATCGACCACTGGTCTACGAATGCATCCAGATTTCTATCTCGTGCCTATTGTTTCGCCAATACAGACAAAGCGAAGAGACGAAGATGGTCCGATTAGGTACCTAAAAGTGTACCATGCTGTGCGTCAGTCTGGGTTTTCGGTTGCACTCTGCTGGTTCAAGTCACGACCCTCTTTTAAAACAAACGACGAGCATGGCCAAGAAAGAGGCAGGAAAATTAACGAGCCGAAAATCGAGTTGGCGGCCGTCCTGTCACCACACGTGATATACAAAGGGTCTGAGTCCGCGGACCGCGAGATTACCAGCAAGCGCGCATCGGCACTGTCTTTTGAATTCACCGCCCCGAAAATATATTTTGGTAGTTGGTCAGACCTCGTTAGGGTGCTTCTAAATTGTTTTTTTTTTTTATTGTATAATGAAAACCACATGGCTTAGTTCATTATATCGTATAACAACATCTCGTTATATTAAGTATTTATTGCCGTATTCGTATAATAGCGAAGATTGTATCAATAGAGGGCGCCATACGTATGATCTATTTACATTTGAATTCCGTTTGAGGTAAAGTCGGTTAAGCAATTTATTATTAAAGAATCTGATTTATACTTTTCTACCTGCGCAATGTATTGCACATGGAAATTAAACCAACTTAAGTCAGAATTGAAAAGGAAATGCGTATCATGTAGTGACAGAAATGTAGACCTTGTAGAAAGGTTAGTAAAACCCCTCAATATGTGTAATTTTTGATGAAAATTTTGAATGGTTTTCTGTTACAAGTCACAGTAATAATACTGTAAATGTTACGATTTGATTAATTTTAGCCGTCTTATTGCTTTAGTCCACAATTTCTTGTATTTTGTATTATTTGGAAGAAATGGCATTCATTTTCTTTACATTCCTGCGGGAGAAAATGGTAAAAATCCTCTCCATTGGTGCTGAGTACATACACTTCAATGTCCTCTAGTGTAATCACACGTAATCTTATAGTGAAAATGACAACAACAACAGCAGTATTTTTCGTTCTTTCTTGAAAAATAAACAATCACCACAAACATTTTCGTTGATATAATCAGAATTCATAAACGATTTCCGATAAATCGTTTATCCTGAAATCTATTTTGTAGATAATTAATTTTTAAAAAATGTTTGTTAAATCTATGCTAATCATTTACAATCACCCAATTAACTACAAAAAAGGATTTTTTGTGTCACAGAAATTCACAATCGATTGTAATATGTGAAACTTTTTGACACTTTTAGAATTTATCATGGCTATTTTAAAGGTGCCCAGACCATTCCAGTGAAACTGACCCAACTAACAAAATACAGCCGATCTCGCTTATAACGAACATGAGGGGGGTAAAAAATTTGTTTGTTTTTGACAATTTTTTGTAATAAAATAGAAAAACTTTATAAAACGGCGTTTATTTCAGAGAAACACGAGAAAATGAAACTTATTTCTAAGGGGTCGTTCGTAAAATACGTCACTCACTGAAAATTGTTTTGTTTCAGGAAAAGTACATTAAAGTTGGTTCAGATAATTTAACTCATAAATCCACCGGAAGTAATAATTTTACGTTTAGTCTTGCGTATTCGATCTTGGTTTTAGTCTTGGTCTTGTTCGTTTGGCCTTGGTTTTAATTTTGGTTTTGCTAGTATAAGGACAGCCGTGGCTTTTGCTCCTGACTAGTTAAAATAAAATTATTGTATTACATTTAGATAAACCCAAAATCAAAATATTTTCGAAAAGGTGTGTCTTTATTACGACATAAATCCACAAATTCTGTATTTTGAACACCAGGGCCAACATCACTTGGACAATTATATTCCAGAAATTCTATTAACCCTTTGCACTCCGAACAATTTTTAATATGACGTATCAACAAATCCGACTCATTTTTCCTATGGCCTTACGGCTACTTCAGGCTATTTTTAATGGCGCGAGCGCGCAGCCGTAGAATATTAAAAATTGCTTTGTTATAAAAAANTTATATATCTATATTTAAAATAAAAACAATGTTTCTATTATATGTCGCTGCTGCGGCGACAACGGAGTAGAAGCTTATAATACAAAGTCGCCTCAGCGACGACAACGGAGTGCTAAGGGTTAATGTAACGATTCTTTATACATAGGCTATTAAAGAAGCAACTTCTTCAACTTTTCTTTGTCTTGTTTCAGGTACCTGTTACGTTGGGAACAAGGATCCTACAACTCTTCTCGCTCTCGTTTTAGTACCGCAGCTGCTTTATTTAACGGCTGGTGTAGCCCTGTTAATATTCGGCTGTATCCTTGTGATTCGCAAACCACGTCCCCTAGCTGCCGCGCCATTAACCGGTGCCACCCCAAGAAAAGACAGTGATCTTCTAGGAGCCCTGTGTTCACTCTACGTCCTCCCGACCGCGTGCGTATTCGCTTCAATTTGCTACGAGTACAATAATCATCTGGTTTGGTCAAAAGGGTTGGAGAAACCGCTTCTCTGGGTGTTTCTGTTGAAATACTTGATGAGTTTGTTCGTTGGGGTTAGCACGGTCTTCTGGATATGGGCTTCGAAAAGCATAACGGCCTGGAAGGGTGTGTTTAGGAGGATGGGTCCTAGGAAACAGTTGCCTGTCAAATGCCAGCAGGTGCAGGTTATGAGGTACGGTCCGAATCCTAGACCTGCTGTGCCTCCTCCTTCGGCTATCAGTACAGCTAGCAGCAGGCATTCTTCGAGACCGCATTCCCAAAGGAAACCCAGGGTACACCATTATAGGGTGGGGGGTGAGACTGTATTGTAGGAAAGGTTTTAAGGGAGTTTCGACTGATTCACTGCCACTTTCTTTTTTATCATCATTGTGTATATTAATATTACAGTTAATTAAGAGTAATTTACCATGATTTCCTACTTCTCTTGGGAGCTCCTGAACTTTGATTATTATCTATCTGGCCAATTACATGACCCACCTAATCATCTCATATTACAGTTCCTTATCATTGTTATACATACATATAATAATATAAGTTTGCTTCGTATCGAAGCCTGTTCGAAATACATAAATAACGATTTATATATATATATAAAATAAATAATAAGACTATCGACTAACGACGAGTACTACTACTAATAATAAGAGAAAACTGTATAAAGTGCCTTAAATTAATTCGTTTGCATACAATTTATGTACCTATATATTTCATAGGAGAGATGTAAATAGACTTTGCTATCAGTTGAGTTTACACATTTACAATAATTAATTTTACCAGCTCCACTTTTTGATATTGATTTTGAACGGCTTGGGAAAGTAATATCGATTTCCGTTTCAATTCTACTTGTGAGATAGCCATTATCACATTGCTTTCGTTGTTAGTATCTGAGAAAAAACAACAACGGCCTGTCAGAGTTGTTTCTCTCACATTGTTCTCAGTAATTCATAGCCAATTAAAATCAAGTACCTATTCTGATATAATTGACTGTTACCGTGGTAATGGTATGAATTTACCGGATGTTAAATGGAAATAGGCGATTTTACGTGGTATCGTCTTTAACAACTACCTATTTATCTATTGTGCCATCTTTAGCCGAACAAGCATTTTCTTTTTAGAATATCTTGTTTGCGTTCTGCCTCCTTTTTCTATGTCTTTATACCGAGTGTTTTTGCGAGAAACATAGTATACATTTTTATTTATCGATCTTAGAGTAAGTTAAGCTTGTGATATTGTCCTTGTACATTCGTCTCGTCTGTAAATAAATGTTTACACTGTAATTAATTTTTGAGTTTTCTTTTCTTGTTTAATAGGGTGGAAAGGAAAAAAAACCTGATACGTCTAGTTATTATGTGGAACATCTACAGTTTGGTCAGTAAGTTATCAAGCCTGCCTGTGGAGTGCTGATGAGAGCAAATAAGTCCGAAATCGCAATCCACGTCTGCCAGCTTCGATAAATTACTGATCACTTGTCCAAAAAAAAAAACATGATGAAGGTAAGTCGTTTTATTATTTTATAGAGAATTTTAAAAGAATAAATAAGCGAGGTATCATCTCTTACAATTGTCATACCCTCCAGAAATAGCGCTCATAACCTTCGTGCCCCCATGTAGGAGTGGACGATTGGCCCAAACCGGGACCAGTAATGAAAAATCAAGTATTGTATAGGGTTGTTCGGAAAGTCATTTCGTTTTTTCCCGACAGACGATTTAACTGTATTCTTTTGCACCCAAATTCACATTTAAGCCGTATAATTTTTATATGCTTTGAGAGCGCATATAGCAAGGCTTGTGTGTGAAAAATTCCAATTAATTCTACTCAGTAGTTTTTGGTTGGTGCCCTTTTAAATATGGAGAGCGATAAGCAGCATTTTCGACATCTCTTACGGTTTTACTACAGAAAGGGTAAAAATGCTGTTCAAGCCAGAAAGAAATTGACTGATGTGTATGGAGAAGGTGTGTTGACAGTACGCCAGTGCCAGAACTGGTTCGCTAAATTTCGATCCGGCAATTTTGATGTCGAAGATGCACCACGTTCGGGAAGGCCGGTTGAAGCTGATAAAGACGCGATAAAGGCATTAGTTGATGTGAACCGGCGAATAACAACACGTGAGATCGGATTGAGGTTAAATTTATCAAATTCAACAGTTTATGACCACTTGAAAGGCCTGGAATTATCCTCGAAGCTCGATGTATGGGTTCTCCATGTTCTCACAGAGAGAAATCTGTGTCGCCGCATTGACGTCTGCTATTCGCTTCTCAAACGTCACGAAAATGATCCGTTTTTGAAGCGCATCATCACTGGGGACGAAAAATGGGTTGTATACAACGAGATAGGTTGGTAGGACACGTTCTCAGGCATGAAGGTCTAGTCAGAGACATATTAGACACAGAAACGGGAGTAAGAGGGGTAGAGGTCGACTTAGATTAGATTACTTTTCGCGAATAGTTAAGGATGTGGGTTGTTCTAGTTTTAGGGAAATGCGAAGATTACCTCAAAATAGGAAAGAGTAGAGGTACGTGTCCAACCAGTCTGAGGACTGACGACCTTATGATGATGATGACTGGACCAAATGTTCGGCTAGTCTTCAAGTTTCGGTACATTAACATTTTGCCAAATTTGGTGCAGCACTTGACAGCGATGTACAGATTTGTCAGTACTGAATGAATGTTTGGTTAATCTTCAAGTAACAAGGTTCGATACATACATATCCAATTTTGGGCATCATAGTTTTGGCCAAGCAATGGACACTGTACCGAATTTGAACAAAAATAACTAAATGTCGAAATATTCATACCTATTGAGTAATATACATTCAGTACAAATGAATTTTATAAATTGTAACTATTATGTTCTTTATTTACAATCAACACACAGAATTACAAGAATATTTCATTAAAATAATTTTTGATAAAAGAAAATTTCTACTTTCGAGGAAGAAAACAGAACGTACAACTTCTTCAGCAGATGTTAGTGTCATAAAAATCAATAACTTTTGCAAAAAGTTAACATCGCAGAACGTTTCAAACATTAAAAGCAAGTTTAATAAACCTAGTTCATTATTGTCTACCCAGTCATAGACCAAGCTTCCTAATCAGGCTTAGGCCGAAATGACATACTATGCTTGGTCAAATATTAAACAATCCTAGGTCGATCTTGGACCAGGTTTGGTCCTGTCGTGACTTCCTACATGGACTCCAACTATACCACTCACATTAAAAAGGCATTTTCAATTTCATTTTTTGATATTGTCGTTTTGGGTGCCAAACTATCAAATGAAAATTAAACAGCTGTTTTTTAAAAAACGTAAAATAGTGAGTCTAAAGGATTAGGATAGTAAAGACTTAATATCCACCTAATTGTATTTTTGATAATATTTACTGGGAGTACAATAATTAAGCGTTGGGAAAATTGTAAATAATGATGCGAGCCAACACTAATACCGGTTAAAATTAACTGTTATTATCTTATTCTTTTAGGGACTCCTTTTTGATTTTTATGATTTGATTTTTAATGTCCAAACGAAGATTACTACCTAGCCAATGCAATAATGGATATGTTTTGAACATAGTTGAAGTGGGTTTGTTTCATCAGTAGGTATTGTTGTTATATGCAATTAATAATGTGAAATTGTTTATTGGTTTTCACTAGTACAAATCCCACCATAAGAGACAAAATGTTGTACATCAATTAATTTTTTATTTTCGTGAACTCTGATACATAAATGGGTATCATCATCATCATCATCATAAGGTCGTCAGTCCTAAGACTGGTCGGACACGTACCTCCACTCTTTCCTATCCTGAGCATTTCCCTAAAACTAGAACAACCCACATCCTTAATTATTTGTGAACAGTAATCTAACCTAGGTCTACGTCTACCCCTCTTAATTCCTGTTTCTGCTTCTAATATGTCTTTGACTAGACCTTCATGCCTGAGAAGGTGTCCTACCAACCTATGTCGCCTATTTTTTATTGACTTCCATAGAGTCCTCTGTTCTATTATTTCTAATACCTCTTCATTTCGTCTATATGTAAATGGGTATCATGTAGTTTATTTTCAGTTTAACACAACTCAATAAATCTTGGAGAAATCGTTGTCCTTTTTTTGTTTGACCGAACATCTGTAAATATTGAAATACCTATGTCTATGTAAGAGGTCATCAAGGTTATTAGTCAGTCTCATAATCGGTATTAGATCGAATCACTGTCGGAAACAGAACAGCAGTCATTAAATCAGACAACTGAACATTATTAGTGCTTGATGAGGTGAATTCATATTGTAAATTTATTAGTTAACAAACAATTAAGTAATACTCATTAAATAAACTGATATATTAAAATAGGTGTTCGAAATCTACAAATTGGTACTAATAGTTAGAGTTATCGATAGGCAAGTTTGTTTTGTAATTAGTGGTGGATATTTTCCGATAGTGTCTGTACGTTTTCCGGCTCCGAATTTTCCACACTGCGCATCGTCATTTGTCGTTTCGTTTTTATCGACTTACGTTATTGTCAAAGCATGCGTGATTAGGAAATTGCATGCTAGCAAACGTTTATATGCTTCTTTCCGTTTGTTATTCGACGCGGTCTGTTTTTAAATCGGCGTTAATTTGCAACTGCCCATTTCGTTTGACCATCATGTTGTTCTCTAAAACAACTTAATGTTGTTAATTATGTATATAGACCACGTCCCATAAGAATCTACTGGTCACTCTTTAACGAGACAATGCAGCAAAATGAAAGCATCCGACAACATCCAGAACAACAATTTGATATTGGCGACAACCCGTAGCTGGGTAAGACAATACATTAATTAAAATATGTACCTAATTTAAATCAGTGTACGTAATTGTCATTACACAGGTCTGCATGGGTTAAATTTTATTGACATTCTTTACTGTTTAAAAATATTTGGAGGTATTTGCTAAAGGTGAAAGGTGAAATTGAAGTAGTAAAGAATTTATCATATGAAGTTTTCTAAATATAGCGTTGGGTTTTAATTGACATGGTATTGAAGGATACGGAAATACTTAACTATTCAATNAAAATGATTGTGGATGATCGTCGAAAAAGTGAAAAAAATGATTGTGGATGATCGTCGAAAAAGTGAAAAAAATGATTGTGGATGATCGTCGAAAAAGTGAAAAAAATGATTGTGGATGATCGTCGAAAAAGTGAAAAAAATGATTGTGGATGATCGTCGAAAAAGTGAAAAAAATGATTGTGGATGATCGTCGAAAAAGTGAAAAAAATGATTGTGGATGATCGTCGAAAAAGTGAAAAAAATGATTGTGGATGATCGTCGAAAAAGTGAAAAAAATGATTGTGGATGATCGTCGAAAAAGTGAAAAAAATGATTGTGGATGATCGTCGAAAAAGTGAAAAAAATGATTGTGGATGATCGTCGAAAAAGTGAAAAAAATGATTGTGGATGATCGTCGAAAAAGTGAAAAAAATGATTGTGGATGATCGTCGAAAAAGTGAAAAAAATGATTGTGGATGATCGTCGAAAAAGTGAAAAAAATGATTGTGGATGATCGTCGAAAAAGTGAAAAAAATGATTGTGGATGATCGTCGAAAAAGTGAAAAAAATGATTGTGGATGATCGTCGAAAAAGTGAAAAAAATGATTGTGGATGATCGTCGAAAAAGTGAAAAAAATGATTGTGGATGATCGTCGAAAAAGTGAAAAAAATGATTGTGGATGATCGTCGAAAAAGTGAAAAAAATGATTGTGGATGATCGTCGAAAAAGTGAAAAAAATGATTGTGGATGATCGTCGAAAAAGTGAAAAAAATGATTGTGGATGATCGTCGAAAAAGTGAAAAAAATGATTGTGGATGATCGTCGAAAAAGTGAAAAAAATGATTGTGGATGATCGTCGAAAAAGTGAAAAAAATGATTGTGGATGATCGTCGAAAAAGTGAAAAAAATGATTGTGGATGATCGTCGAAAAAGTGAAAAAAATGATTGTGGATGATCGTCGAAAAAGTGAAAAAAATGATTGTGGATGATCGTCGAAAAAGTGAAAAAAATGATTGTGGATGATCGTCGAAAAAGTGAAAAAAATGATTGTGGATGATCGTCGAAAAAGTGAAAAAAATGATTGTGGATGATCGTCGAAAAAGTGAAAAAAATGATTGTGGATGATCGTCGAAAAAGTGAAAAAAATGATTGTGGATGATCGTCGAAAAAGTGAAAAAAATGATTGTGGATGATCGTCGAAAAAGTGAAAAAAATGATTGTGGATGATCGTCGAAAAAGTGAAAAAAATGATTGTGGATGATCGTCGAAAAAGTGAAAAAAATGATTGTGGATGATCGTCGAAAAAGTGAAAAAAATGATTGTGGATGATCGTCGAAAAAGTGAAAAAAAAGATTGTGGATGATCGTCGAAAAAGTGAAAAAAATGATTGTATGAGATCGTCGAGTCACTTTGCAGTCAACTGCTGAGCAAGTCGCAATATCATACGGTTCATGTTAAGAAATTTTTACAGATGTTTTGGCCATGAAATGCAGCGTATCAGCAGGATTTGTTCTGAAATTGCTGAATTTCAAACAAAAGCAATGTTGTGCAGATATTGCTCTAGACTTTCTTCATGAAATAAATAATTATCTTGGATTGCTCGAACGTTTTATAGCAGATGACGAGTCATGGGCGTATGGGTATGACTCGAAACCAAAAGGCATTCTTCACAATGGAAGTGACCTGAAGTGACAAGACTAAAAAAATTGTACAATTTCGATCAAACTTCATGGTTTTGCTAACTGTTTTTGAAATTCAACGGTGTAGTACATTATAAATTCTTACCTAAAAGGTCAAACGGTCAATAAAGAGTATTAGTTATACGTCGTTTGCGTGAAGTAATTCGTCAGGAACTGCCAATTTTGTGGGAAAAGCAGTCGTGGCGATTGCACTACGATGAAGCACTTGTTCATGCCTCAATACCTGTTTGTGTGCTTTTGGGTCAAACACAACATAATAATGATGCCGCAACCCCCTATCTGTGTCTTCTTTCTATTGAAGAACGTTAAAAAACGACGTTTTGATAAAATGATTGATGATAAAAGCAGGATCAGTAAAGCAGCTGAATGCCATATTGAAAATTGAAATTTAGGAGTATTGACACAATTCATTATATCTGAAAGGGATTACTTTGAAGGGGTCAAATTTCATATTGATTAATAAATAAATATTTTTTGAGAAAAAATGATAATTCCGGAAACTTTTTGATCACACTTATGTACACTNTGAAACATTCTCCACTCCTTTCGTGTCATTTACATTTTTCTTGCGAATTATTCAGTATATAATTATGGAACATGTATCTATCTATGCCCGGCAGAAATGATTTCTTTCTGTTTTCAATATTATTTTGGATATAAAGATTTGTTTTCAGTGAGTTCGTAAAATTGAAATTTAGGAGTATTGACACAATTCATTATATCTGAAAGGGATTACTTTGAAGGGGTCAAATTTCATATTGATTAATAAATAAATATTTTTTGAGAAAAAATGATAATTCCGGAAACTTTTTGATCACACTTATGTACACTTCTTTACGGTATTTCATGAGACTCTCTATTCATAATTTCTTTCCTCTACAACAGCAATTTTGAAAAAATTCACTCATTGATAAACTACTGTTACGAAGTACATGAAAAAATTTCGACATGGTCTGACCGAGAATGATATATAGCACCCCAAATTCTAAATCAAAATTATAATCTATACTATACTTAGTATTCATTTTATATACGAGGGTGGATTGATAAGTTTCCGGCCTGACCAAGAAAAACAAGGTTTTTAAAAATTTTTTTTTTTTATTTCTCAACATAATCTCCTCCAAGGCTGATACATTTCTCATAGCGGTGTTCCAGTCTATTAATGCCATCTCTATAGACTGATTCGTCAAGCTCCTCAAAATAACCATTTACAGCTTCGATTACTTCTTCATTGTCCGCAAATCTCTTACCGCCA